GTGAAATTCAATGAAAACTATCATTGTGGTAAAATTCATCTATCAGTTTTTGGATCGCCTTAAACGAAATAGAGTAAATAAATCTTATAGAAGACTTTTTGTCATCAAATTTCACTTAAAATGCTTTGAGTCTTGGGTGGACTGTAGTTTGGACCTCTCATTAACACCTCCTTTGGGATTCGATAGCGAGTTGTGAGCATTGTTGCGATTTTACCACTCCAGCACGCAGCTACAGGTACCAGTGGAGCCCCTGACAGATGGGGCACTCGAGCCAAACCGGGCCTCACTGAAATCACATTTTTAAGCAAGCATATCTTTGTCAGTGAAATTGAAGATGCTACTCACTTTCGATATAAGTAGGTGTCGAGACTATCACTATTTCTTGGACACGAAAGGAGAGTAAGTTTTTAATCCGGAAGAGGTGAATCAAGATAAGATCGTAAAAAAATCTTGTTGACAGTGAATTCATCTTATTGTAATTGAAGATCTATTTAAGTACTGTTAATGCATTTTTTCCCACAATCTGATGATTCAACCTCGCAATGACAGTGAACGTCACCCACCCCTGTTTTTCAAAGGGCCGAGTGAAATTCAGTGGCTCAGCTGGGTCTGCTTATCCAATTGTTGAAAACCTAAACTAACAGTCCTTAAATCACCTTAGGCAACCTAGCTTGACTACGTTCTTATTTAAGAGTTACTGACAGCTTCCAAACTTACTCATATTGATGCTACTCACTTTCGATATAAGTAGGTGTCGAAGCTATCACTATTTCTTGAACACGAAAGGAGAGTACGTTTTTAATCCGGAAGAGGTGACTTAAGATGAAATTGTAAAAAATCTTGTTGACAGCTAATTTATCTAATTGAAATTGAAGATCTTAGGCAACCTGGATTGACTACGTTCTTATTTAAGAGTCACTGACAGCTTCCAAACTTACTCATATTGATGCTACTCACTTTCGATATAAGTAGGTGTCGAGGCTATCACTATTTCTTGAACACGAAAGGAGAGTACGTTTTTAATCCGGAAGAGGTGAGTCGAGATAAAATTGTAAAAAATCTTGTCGACAGCGAATTTATCTAATTGAAATTGAAGACCTTAGGCAACCTAGATTAACTACGTTCTTATTTAAGAGTCACTGACAGCTTCCAAACTTACTCATATTGATTATAGTCAAATAAACCCTTTGGTTAGATTGTTAAGGAGCACTCTAAATGGTGTCTATATTTTTATGGCCGCAGTCGGTATGTATCTAAAATGGCCACCAAATGCGGGAGATGAGGCCTGGAGACTGACTTAAGGAATTGAGCTGTAGGCTCAGATCGTTTGATTGCAGTCGTCCTGACAGTGATTTCACAAGAGATCCGCATTTCCAGACTACATTAAAGGTTATTTCGGTATGGAGTCTCTTGCGATTGTCGTGTCGACCTATGCTCATCGGCTCTTTTAAAAGTTCCCCGGAAGTAGCCATTTTTTGAAAGGCCCCATCAGGTCCGTTGCCGAACAATCTGTTGAGGCTGTAATACTTGAACTTACTCTAATCAAGTCAACATTGGAGCAGATCATTTCGGCACCATTGCTCTCCAAACTGGGCCTTTTACACAGTCCAGGTACTGCCTTCATAGAAGGCAATGCTGCTTCCACTTCAACTGCCGATCCCGGTGATATACTCCCCTCCGAGGAGTCTTGAGACGTTTCAGAATCACCGGTCCAGTAGAGCTCGGGTGGCTGACCATAACGAATGACTAATAGAGCAATTGTGGCCACGGAGTAGGCGATCAGAGTGCCAAGACTGAGGAAATCGGCGAGACTCTCGATGGAGAAGATAGTAACCAGGAGGCCGGTGAATGACATAAAGAAGAGGATTGAGACCACTGGTGTCTTTTGGTTGAGACAGAGGATAATGGGAGAAAATAAAAACAAGAAAAAAAACTTTACGTAAAGGAGAAGAATAAGAAAAAATACAAATGAGAAAAAAAGCTTGAAAGAAAGTGGAACTCAAGGATAAATAAAATTTTTATTTTCACATCAGTTCATCTTCTCTTTGTTTTGGGAGAAAATTCCATACCAACTCTGCAACCGAGTCTCCTCAGTGCTCCAATCTGCGGCAGGCGGGTAGTGATGCTGGCAAAAGCACTCTGATAACCTTTCTGCTTAATAATGGAATGATGCCATTTTTTATAATTATCACTTTTAGTTGCTATTTTTTATCAATAGCTTGGCCATGCTTTGATCTGTTACCGACCCCTATAGGTTGTTGTTCTTCGAAGTCATTGGTACAGCTCTAAATGACCCAATGACGACTTCTAAACTTTGTTAGGGGGACCTTCATTTCGTGTGAAAGTGCATGAAGAAGAGATTTGTTGGTCAATCTGACCAGATGAGGACGGATGAATCTCGTTGTACTGCAGCCGTTTGGCTCTTATAAGTAGGACTTTTACAAGAATGACACCCAGCTCTGATGAAGTCCATCATATGATGGACGAAAGTTCAGCACGTTTTCACCCGAAACGAGGGAGGAAGTCTTGTGGACTGCGTCAAAATGAATATCCTATCAAAGCCAAACGGCTGCCATACAACAGGATACATCCGTCTTCATCTGGTGAGATCGATCAACGAATCTTTGCTTCATGCAGTTTCATACGAAATGAAGGTCCCCTAACAATGTTATCTCAGGAGACTCATGGAAACCAAAATTTATCTTCGTATCTACGACTTCTAGACTCTATAGGATCAGATACTTCTTCCCCATCTGCAGCAACGCTTTGATGGTTGGGGTAGGAGGGAGCGTTGGCATCTCGGAAAATCCTCTTTATTTCATCATACCATTTTGCCTGTT